GAAAGTTATACAACCAGCCGGTTTATCTTTGGAACGTCAGTGGTACATCTATCACAATCTTCGCAGCTTAGTTTCGGATATATCTAAAGTAGATATTGTGGCTCCATTGCCGAAAGATTTGCCATCGAAGAAACGGAAGGCAAAAACTAGTGAAGATGTTCTCAAACCAGACGAGGAACCAGGTCCATCTTCCTCAGGATCAACACGTAAAAAGATCTCAAGGAAAACGACAACAAAGAAAAATACATAAACTACTCAGCATTATTATTTTTGGCCCATAATACGTTTTTCTAGTGTATAATCATGTCTTTATAGCCTATAATTCAATGTATTTTGTTCATTACCAATAAATTATATTTTGTCGTATTTTTACTCTTCTTTCTCTACATTTTTAGTACATTTCTAAGCAAGTTAGGATTTTCTGCTTTTCCCCACGTGAAAAAGCATCTCATCTTCCATCCGAATCAACCAAAAAGTGAAAATTGATTTTTTGACACCTAAGCCCCCTTTCCGTAGACCAGGTCACATATGGAGTTATTTGCCGGGTGAGAATATTCTCATACCCAACAATGTCAATTATGCTAATGAAATCCATTTAGTTGATAGTTTTTATAGCTTACAATTAGTGCAAATTAACCATTTTGTAAATGCACTACATAAAATCTTAGATTTTTTTTTTGTTAGTAATGATTTAAAATATAATTTGCTGCATTCTTGTAATCCGTTATCCGTTACTGATAAGCATCACGTCCCCCTAATTTTTGAATTAGAATTTTATGAGTATGCGCATATTGTATCTAGGAACGATGTTAAATTCAATTATAGTCGATTTGATTTTGCCCTAGTAAATAATTTAATTATTAACGTTAATTAGCAACTTTTGTTTCAGGAACGTAATCTTGCAGACTGGTTTGAAATATTTAAAAGTAATATTTCGGAAATAGTGAAAAACAATATTCCTCTTTTTCCAGCAAGGATGCATAAATTGCCTTGGTATACAAATAGGTTAAAGAAATTTAATAATTTGCGCAATAAATTTTTTAAGCTCTCTAAGGAATCAGGATCCCCTCAGCACAAGCATGAATACTTAAAGTACAATTGAACTCTTTCAATTGTTTGAATAAATTTTTATACAATCAATACGTTTTAGGCTTCGAAAATAATATTAAGTCCAATCCGAAATCTTTTTGGAACTTCATTCGCTCGAAGCAATCGTCGTCAGCAATTCCATTGTCAGTGTCTTATCAAGGCAAAAACTCTTCGTCATCCTATGAGTCAGCAAATTTTTTTGCGGAATTTTTTAAGGCAAACTTTAGAGGCGGAAGATTTTTGGAAGGATGATAATGTTATTTTAAGTAATATTGTGCCGCATTTAGATTTCTGCACTTTAGTTCTTGATACTGATGATATTATATCAAGTATTCAGACTCTCAAAAATTCGCAACAGTGTGATAGTCATCAACTGTCATCCTTTTTTCTAAAACAATGTGTGCCTTCCATTGCTGAACCATTATTACATCTATATATAAATACGCCACAAGAAAATTTTGCAATCCCTTTTTTGAAAGCACCGTTAGCTCGATTTCAATGAGACATATACCGATTTAAAGGATATAACTTCGTCTAATCCAGAAATGTTAATCCCGATACATAGGGGGCGTGGCATCTGACATATAGCCTAAAATGTGAAAACCACAATATCTCTAAAGCCAATTATCCTGGGGAACTGAAACTTAGCACAGATGCATAGATTGTAAATACCAGGGACGTGAACCGGTTTTGAACCGAACCGGTTTTAAACCGGAAAACCGCTTTTTTCTATTAATTAACTGAACCATTAACCGAACCGAAATTTTCCACAAATGTTTGATCCGAACCGAAAACCGAACCACTTTCCATAAAGGTTTAAAGGTTCGTTCCAACCAATTTTCAATAGATAAATATACTCACTTTATTTTCTTTTTGTTAAACATGGTAATACCTACCACGTTTGTTTACCATGTGATGTGACGGCTTTTTACTAGCAATAACATCTTAGCCAGCTAATCCAGTTTCTGACAAAATATTTGCATAAGTTTATAGTTGAGTGGTCGTTTTCCAACACTGGTGAGAGGAATTTTTTTTTGGGACACCTCTTGTCATTATTAAAAAGTCATTGTCAAATACCTATAGAGAGTATCAGTGCAGAGAATTACCTCCTTTTCCATTTTGGGCTCCGACGTGTAAATACACCTAGTTTTTCAGTTCAGCGACTAGCCAAAAAGACTAAATCCAAATCGTAATTTTTTTATTACAGCACCTTTAGCTTCCAACTCCTTTTTTTAGGAATAAAAATGTAAGTAGTGGGTGAAGTATAAAGTGATTTTTTTCACCAAAAGAAATTTTATTTAGATTTCCAATATAGACATAGATATATCGAATCTAAACCGACTAGCATTGACTCTAAAGTCAAAGGTTTCCACGCTGCCATTAATTTACTAGAGCAGGTAATTATTCTCTTCGTTTCATTCTATCAAAAATTTTCGCAAAAACACCTAACTATGTAGATTGGCCTACAAATCAATGCAATTAAGGAAGTACATTTTTTTTACAGCAACACGTGTGCTCTTCAACGCTCCACCCGATGCCCCTCATAATTCTTACTTCTATATGTAGCCAAAACCTACAAAAGGTAAAAAGAGGAACAGTCATCGTTACCGCAGAGTCTCCTAAGCGAGCGACCAGTTTCTATCTGCTCAGCTTCCATATGTATTTCGTAGGAAGATCCACCACACAAAAAGAGTCCGCTAAAGAGCAGCGATTAGGAAAAAGTCCCATCGTGAAGAATCAGAAAAATAATAATTAAAAAAAAAAAAAATAAAACCAAACCCACCCGAATCAAAAGTCGAAAAAAATATATATACATATGTGTTATATATATATATAAGTATATATATGTATGAGCATATATGTATAGGTATACCAAAATTTGCAAATTGATTATAATTACTACATATAGTTTTGCTCAATATTTAAAAACACCAAAAAAAAAATTAACTAATCACGTACCTATTGCCATTAGAATTGAAGATGAAATAATAAGTATGATACATAGTTAGTTAACGTTCAAAAACAAAACTTTTCATTTAAATATTTTTCTTGTTTGTTATGCACTTTATGCAACATCAGGAACACAACTTTTTTAATAACTCGCAGCAATTGTGTTTTTGTTCTACTACATATGTATTTACAATATGTTTGTATGTAAGTAGTGGACGAACGAACAGCAAAGGCACCAACCAACCAAGCAACCAGTTAGCTGCTGACTGCCCTAAGTAGTCAGAGCCATTTATGTAAGTACAAGGCGATGGAGCGGCAACAACAGCAATTTACAACAAGCAAGAAGCCAACCGGCGACCTGACAGGCTAGCAGACAAGTAAACACACCCGCTCGCACGTTCGAAGGAAAGGCAAAGCTACTCACTTGCATGAATGCTCGCCAATTATGTTGCTCATACGCCATGGATGCACCTCAACTCATTGGCTTCATGCAGTTTCATCAGCTTAGTAACACTACTTTTCAAAATGCGTTACCCTACTTTATCTACTCTTTGTCCTTTGGTTCGTAGACTTCATTGTTGCTGCTAAGCTTCTGTACACTTTTCACTCGCTACATTCTTTGCATTTGCTATTGTCGTCGCTTTAGTGATAATGATGATTTGTTTTTCGGGTTATTTGCCTGTAAATTGTTTGCACGTTAGTTTGCTTGAGCCAAGTGTATGGAGTGTACAAACGATGCGTTGCTCGCGTGCAAATGCTTTTGTTTGCTGAGTCCTTTAAGCGTTTTGTTGTTTTTTTACCACTCGACAGTGCAGTCGCACAACCCGACCCACTCTACGCGTTTAAAACCTTTTCGCTTTACGTGCACGCAGACACAGTTAGAAGCAAAGCATTGCAAGTTTCGGTCGTCGTCACTCATACGCCGTGTACTATGCTTGTGTATGCTCCGTTGGCGCTTTTAATTCGGGTGCAAACATACGCTTACGCACACACACACACACACACACGCGCACACAATTATTTATTCAAGCATAGCCCTAATGAATGCTGTCATTCTATATTTCGTGTTACATTATGTTTTTTTTTTTTAGTAGTGCTTATGGCGTTACATAGTTGTTGCTTTTATTTGTGCAGAGGGCGCCGAACTCACTAAAAATGCTCTTTGAACTCGTCGCTGTATGCGCTTTAAACTAGCGCTGACCTTTTGTTTTGTATTTTATTCGTCGACATGTTTACTCACTCTTCTGCTTTTCTGGTGGGTGCGGTGCGTACTTTGCATTTGTTTGTGTAATTTTCATACTTGCTCGCTCGGCTAGTTGTGGCGAGGTGAGGAACGAAATTTTACCAGCAGCCTTTTTAGTTGATTGTTTATTATTTTGTTGTTGGTGTTGTTACAGCACTTTGCTGTGTTGTAAACAACAGCTGGGGGTCGTCAAAGGTTAGACATAGAACTTTTATATTATTAACGTTAGGAAACTAATTAATAGCGAAGTTTTTTTAGCTTGTATGTGTAACGGAGGGTACTTGTTGGAAAACAGTTTTAGATTAAAGTTGTTCGGTGAAAATTTTTGAATCGATATTTTTAGTATGATTTCCGGGAAGCAATGAGTAAAGATGTAGGGAGTGGGAGTTTGTTTGAAATTAGGCACTTTTTGAAAGTAACTATGTGCAATAAAATAAAACATTGCAACAGTGCAGATGTAAAACGGTAGGGAATAGAAAAAAATATATTTTTCGAGTGTTGTCACCTGTTTAAAAGGTAAAATCGACTTATTGATAAGTTAAACAAAGTATCAAACCCATGTGGGTGTCAAACGAAAGTGGTTCAAAATTAGTTAATTCGAAAGATTCGAAAATAATTTTTGACGAGGGTTGCCAGCCACCACCAGCTAAATTAAAACATACTAATATATGTACATAAATGTGAAAGTTTGTGAGTGAGTGTGTTTATTGGTCTTCTTTGTATAAAATTGGGCACACAGGTAGCTTATGACCTTTATTAACATAGAGCATATTTTTCGAATAAAGGCACAAAATATTTTAATTCTGCTTTAAATTATAAGTTCATTTGAATTCTACGATATACGATGCTAAACGAGCGAAATTTAAAAAATTTTAATTATGAATATATTTTCAAAATAGTGTTGCCACCTCTTCAAACCCTAAAATTAAATTTCAATAAAAAGTTTTATGAGGTATTACAATATCGGTGGCAAACGAACGAGCTTTAACCAAGCTTTATTTGAAAATATGTTTACAGTGGTTGCCACTTGTTTAGAAGTCAAATCCAAGTTTTTCACAGGTTAAATAAAGTCCTACAATATGGGTTGCAAACGAATGATGTAAGGGGTGCCACCTATGAAAAAGAATTAATTCAACTCAATCAATAATTCAAATGAAGCATTACAAAATAATGTCAAGGTAACCAAGAATTGTTTGAGAAGGCTTAATTTTGAAAATATTTTTCAAAATGCTTAGCACCTGTATAAAAGTCTTAATTAAATTTAATCAGTTGTTCTAATGAAATATTACCTATATGGGTGTCAAATGAAACAGGTTGTAAATAGCTTTGTTACGACTATTTGCCCAAAACTAAGGTAGTTGGTTCAAAAAGTTTAAAGAGTTCCTAGAAAATAAAAAAAAGACCAAAATGCCGACGAAACTGATCGACTGAAGTTTAACCCAAAACGAAACGAAAAATCTTTAAATAATCATAAAGAAGAATGGCCTACGAGTCTCGTTGTTGCTGATTCCTTTCCTGCATCTTACACATTTTTTTTTTTTAGCGCATCATCATAAGGTTCTATAGCTGCAAATTCTGAAAACATGTCCATATTAGTTAGATATTTTTCCTTGTTATTCAGATACCAAATGTCCATGGGATAGTGTTCGAATAGTTGTTTTGAATGGTTTTCTTTATTTGGATTCCCTTCGATTTTTCTTGAGCATTATTTCCGATTTTTTATAATTTCCGAAATTTTGTATTCTAGGTTTGAAAGATAAAGTTCTCTTAATTAATCGTAAATTTTGTCTACACCTGGATGATTGTATTATTCCCTATGTTTTCTAAGGATTTTTCCATGTTTCTTCATCCGGATATTTAGGTAAGGCTTTCGTGCACTTATATATGGGTGTTTCCAGCGGAAGGTCCACCACGACAAAAAAAAATAAAACTTTTATATCTAACGTATTTACGGGCCGATTTGTCTGCTTTTTAAAATATATACTTGCTATGTAAGTAGAATCATGTTTGCATAAAATGGTCTTCCTAGGTGGTGCCAAGGTCGAGATATTTCGAAAAACCACAGTGGCTAAACCCACCCTCCATGGATTCTCAATGGCGCTTAATTGAAAATCCCCAATCAACTTTCATCAAACCTTCCCACTACCCTACCGCCAAAGAAAAATCCAAATTACTCCATTATAATATTCAAATTTATTACATCAAGAAAAGAGCTACACATACTACATACTGAGATATAAGGGGCTTGTAGATATTAATGTTTCTTTTGTACAACAGTTTTTGTTCCTTTTTTTCTTTTTTTTGTTGTTGTGGTTATTTGTTTAATAAGTTACAAAGGAGCGGTTTCCTTTAATTTAATGTATAACGTTGCAATTCAAAAAATAAGAAATGTCCAACAACAAAAATTAAACAATGGCCGACTTATAACTACTAATATGGGTACTCGCGAAAAGTTTAAATTCTAGAGTTTTTTTTTTTTTGATTATCTATGGGGAATGGTGAAACTAATCATTTATAAACAAATAGCAAAATCCAAGGGAGAGAGTGAGAGACAATGCTGGACTGTGAAAACAGTTATGTATTTAGGTTTATAGTAAAACCCAATGTCAGCTCAATAAAGCTCTTCGTCTCTCTTTCTCTTCCTGCGTAAAAAGGTATGCAAAAAAAAACTTAAAAGGTAAATATGTACGTATGTATAAATATGTATATTTAGTGAGAAAGGTATAGCAAAAAGAACAAAAGAAACAACTTACATTTTAGAGCTCAGCAACACGATGCAAGGCATTACACGATGACTGCGGTGCTGGTATTCTGTGGTTGTTGTTAGTTGAGAAGTGCAATGTAATTTTACATATATATATATGTATACATATGTACAGCACTAGGGTAATCCTGCTAGTTTCAGTATAATTTGGCAATTTTTTTTTTTGGCAAAGTTTAGTAAATTTTGCATGCGTACGAGTAGATACAGGTCTCGCATATATAGAACACTTTTCACTTTTTTTTT